TATTGTCAAATATTAACAAAAAAAATTAAATCTAAATCTAAATCTATAATAAAAAAAATGTATTTCATTGCTATAAATTTTTAATTTTCTCTTTTTTCTAAAATCCAATTTTTCATACAAATAATTGCTCTTGCTGTTTTTGAATTTAACCTATTTCTGGTTTTTGAAATAGCTTAACCTGAAATTGAAAAAATCCTTTCTAATAGAACTGACATAGATTTTATTATTAAATAATCTAAGGAAAAGGAAACTGAAGAAACATCTAAAATATTGTTATCATTTTCATAAGAAATATTACCAGATATATTTACAAATACAAAATGATCAAAGATCAATATATATGCAATATCATATATTTAATCATTTAAACAGATCTAAAAATAGGTTTAATTTGATTTAATTTCAGTTCAATCTTAATCTTCAAACTGAACTGAAACTGGTTCTATGATCAGACTATGATACAAAAGTATTAATCTTGATGAACTTGTGATGTGCTTTTTGATAAACATTTTTGTGAAACCTGAAATTAGTATATTTCTTGATAAACATTTTTGTAAAACTCAAATTTGGTATACTTCTTAATAGATCAATAACATAATATAAAATTAGAATATTCTTAAAAGAAAACTTTGCTTTGAATTTAAATATATCTTAATAATTTTTAAACAATGTAACATTAAAGTTTCAATAAATAATACATTCTTTATACGTGAATTAATATGTGTAAAATGCGTAAAAGGTTTTTTTTAAAAAAAATTTTTATAAAAATATTTGTATAAAATCCTTTCAATTTTTTATGAAATATTTTTAATATAAATAAATAAATTATTTTACTAACTAATTTTTTTTTAGAAATTAAGCAGGTTTATTATTTTTTTGATTTTTTTCTAATATAAATATCAATGCAAGACTATTTTATACATATACAATATACTGAAAATAATTTTATAAGGATACCTTTTGGCAGGATCACAGAATGGTATATAGCAAATCATCCTTTATTAAAGAATAGCGTTTGAAATGTCAAAGTCAACAATATGCTTTAAGTTTTGTAAAAGAAGAATTTATTAATATTAAAAGAGTTGAAGGAGCTGTAGATTTTGTAAAGTAGAAAACTAAAAATGATAAATTAAAGTCAACAAATAAAATTGATGATATATTAACTTTAACATTAGAGAAGCATATCTTATTACATAAATAAATGCTAAAGAGAAAAGAAATAGATTATGCTAGTTTTGAATTATGTATTATACTGGAGATGAAAATTATTGTCAATGAGTTTGTGAAGAAATTGGTAAATGCAAAGAAAATTGTAATAATTTTGAATTTTTTAATGGTTTTAAAATTTATCAAAATATGCATCTCTTTCAAATGAGAGTTAAAAGTAAAGTTCATTTTTTCTCTTTAATTACATTACATTTTTTATCAATAAAAATATATAGAATTCATACTCCTTTAAATATTATTGTTGATAATAATTCAACACTAAAATTGAAATGTTAAATTTATTAAAAAGTGTTAAAGATAATGTTCTATTAATTAGAAGAGTTGATCATAGGAGTGCTAAAGAAATTAAATCAAAATTATTAACATCAATAAATAGTGCTAATGAAGAAACTCTTTTTTAAACTTTAACTAGTCAAAGAATTATTTGTAATGATAATAAATTAAAACAACTAGTAACTCATAATAATAAAAGATTTAAAGATAATGTTGGTTCTTGAATAATTTTACATAATCTTATAATTGAAACTTTAAAACCAAAAGGTTATATATTATATTATCAACAACTAAATATCTTATTTCCAGAAAATTCTTCACAAAGATTTTATCAACTAATTTTATCTGATGATATTTGATTAAAAAATGCAAGAGATTTTGGGCAATTATGTAAAGTATTGATGGAAAATATGATTTAAATCTTAATCATGCTTCAATTTTATCTATTGTAGTTAAAAATAAAGTTTTATTTGCAACACTAATTACATTAGTAAGAAATTTAACAATTTTTTTGATATATTTTAAATTAAAATTAATTTATTTTATTTAATATTTTAGGATTAAGTAATAAAGAAATAATCATACAATAAGATTAACAATATTAGCTTTAAAAAATAATATACTATGTAATCAGTCAAATTGTAATCATTTATGGTATTATGAAGATTTATTAGATAATTTGAGATTAAAAGAAAAACAAGTTGTTCAAATTTATGGAGTTTTATTGCTATGATTGATAAATATAGACCAATAAAATTAGATGTTAAAAATTTATTAGATAGAATTATACTTTGTTAGTTTTATATGATATAATATTTTGGTGAAAATTTAAAAATTGAATATAAATGTATAAATAATTTAATTTTTAATTTTTTTTAAAAAAAAAACATGATAAAGCAATTATTAATTTTAATTAAAATTTTAAATTATATTTGAATATTATTTATTTTAGATATCCTATTGCATTAGGATTTAAATTAATTAATAGATGTAGAACAAAAGAATATGTATTTTAAAATAAATTTTTTATTTGATTTGTTTATTGATAATCTAAATATAAATAACAATAAAAAAAAAATTAAAGAAGATATTAAAATTAATTTGATATATAAAGAATGGTGTATGCAATTTATTGATGCTAAAAAATTACTAGTAAATAATGAATCATTATGGACAACAAATAATTTTACTGAAAGAATAAATAGAACAATAGAAGTAACTTATTCAGAAAAATAACATTTGTTGAACAATTATATGATTTAACATTAATGTGTGAAAATATAGTAGAAAAATATACTGGAAAATTGATTTATAAAGCTGGTTTGGTTATCATGTTTAATACATAATCTATTAAGCAGGTTAGTATAATATTTATAGTATTATTTATTTTTATCTTATTATTTTAGTTAAAATTAATTTATTATTATATTAAATAGCAAAAATTGTTATCAAAATTAATACAAAATATGTTAAAATAATTAAATCATAATAGTTTATATTTTTATTAGGAATGGTAGAAAAATCTGATTATCCTAATTATTTTATGTGAAAAAAAATCAAAAGATTGATATTATTTATTCTTCATATTATAATCAATTATTAAATATAGAAAATACAATTATGTAAAATTTAGATCCTTTATTGAAACAAACTTTTAAAAATCATAATATTCAAGAAAAAAATGGATATTATATAATGAATATTATAATTGGAGAATGTTTAAATTGTTTTGATTTTATTTGAAATGGATCATTTCATGACATTGTAAATATTGTCATAGTGCTAAAATATTTGTTAAATCATTGAAAAATTATAATTATATAATTAATGAAACAAAAGAGCAATTAGTTATTTACTTTAAAAACAAACAAAAAGTTTTATTTTCAGAATTAAAAAATTATAACATCTATCAAGAAAATACTGAAACTGCTTTTCAAAAAATAATTAAAGAATATAATGAAAATGGTAAGTAATAAATCATTTAATTTTAATTAAATTGATTTTTTTTAAAATATTTAGAAAATTCCATATTTTTAATACAAATAATCAAGAATTTAAAGTTCAAATTGATCCATTTCATCCATTAGAATTTAACCAAAAAAAATAAAAGAAATTTAACAGGTGCTCTTGCAAAAACTTCTGCAAAATCACAAAAGCCTAGCAGAATATTTCAAGAAATAAAATTAATACCTCAAAAAAAGCAAACTAGTCAAATTTAAAAAGCTAAATATGATGACAAAAAGGTATTATAATTTTATATTTTTATATTTTTTTGTTAAAGAAAAAATTAAATAGCAATGTATTTTTTATTTAATCAATAGGAAAAAGAAAACATTTTAAATGAGTTTCGATTCTTTGCACCTACATTTACCACCACTATACCTAATATATCGTTTATACCTCCTACTCATTTTCCTTTTTTAAATGATTCATATACTAATACATATATATACAGTATCTTCTTCCAAATAATTCGAATTCAAATAATCTATATGCGCGTTCCCCTTTCTTAAATAATTCACATATACATTCTTCTTTAAGTAAACCATACACGTCCTTCTTTAAATAATAATTCATATATGCACCTCACAAACAGTTCAAATTCAAATAGTTTATATACACGTTCTCCTTTTTAATTAATTCATATGTGCATTTTACTCCTTCAAATAATTCATGTACATTTTCTTCAAATAATAATACTACTTCTCCTTTTCCTTTATCTCTTACACAATCTTCAAACACATTTCCTTCATTTTCTATCCCTTATCAACATAATTTAAAATTTAAATAAATAAAGGTAAAGATAATAACTTTTATCATTCTTATATCTAAAATATAAAATTAAGTTGTATAAATTTAATAAAAATCATTTCAAAAAAAAAAAAATTACAAAAAAAAAAATACTTATCCTTATAAATACAAAATAAAAATTTTTACGATAAAAGTTTTACGTTACTAATTCAGGTTTCACAAAAATGTCTATCAAGAAATATACCGATTTCGGGTTTCACAGAAATGTCTATCAAGAAGCATACCACAAGTCCATCAAGATCAATACTTTTGCGACTATGGTCTGAACCGTTCAATCACAGACTTTAACGTCCCTACATACTATAGTCTCGAAATTACTTGATCTCAGCGAAGTTCTCTTTCAGGGAATATTATTTTACATAGTCTGTGCGGATGGTAGTTATATAGATATGGGTATGGGTGGGATATTTATTTCGGAAATCTAGTGTAGTAAAAAAGTGTGGGGGTGAGAATCACGTAATTAGCAATAGAAGTAGAAATAAAATAGTTATAGATATTTTTCGTAAATATGAACCACATCATATATTGTCACTTATCTGCCTTTTTTTCTAATAATAAAGTCTTCACTCAGATCGGGTTTATAAATTTTAATTGCGTGAAAGTGTGTACATATTAAATTGTATAATTATGAGGCTGGTGACTATCAAGAGATAACTTGAATATCAACTGACTCATAACTTCACCGCCAAATGAGTGGACAGCGTGAAGTTATGGCGTCTCCAAAGTAAATATATACCAAGGGAAGCACTCGCCGCCGATTGAGTGGACAGCACGAGTAACTTCAGCAAAGCCAGCAGATCAACTACTGCTGCCGATTGAGTGGTCAAACACAGCAGTTGTTAGTACCAAGCAACTCATAACATCACCGCCAAATGAGTGGACAGCGTGAAGTTATGGCGTCTCCAAAGAATATATACCAAGGGAAGCACTCGCCGCCGATTGAGTGGACAGCACGAGTAACTTCAGCAAAGCCAGCAGATCAACTACTGCTGCCGATTGAGTGGTCAAACACAGCAGTTGATAGTACCAAGCAACTCATAACTTCACCGCCAAATGAGTGGACAGCGTGAAGTTATGGCGTCTCCAAAGAATATATATATACCAAGGGAAGCACTCGCCGCCGATTGAGTGGACAGCACGAGTAGCTTCTGCATAGTTGCACCCTCAAACAATAATACCAGTAGAAAATATCTCTTCATAAAAAATCCCGTGTTCGTAAAAATGGGACTGACGATCTGTCACGTGTAGTCATTATTGATGATTAAAATAAGCGCGACACTACGCGTATAACTACGCGTATAACTTTGTTCTGATTACTGATTCGTTATGACTGCTGTACTAAGATCTACGAATTTCTTAAGCTTTAAGATTTCTGCTGATAAAACTGTCCATGCCTATTTTAAGAACGTAGAGGCCAGGTACTGGCAATTGAAGCATTACCTAAGCTTTCGTTTGAAATCTGACGAAATAATCTTACCGTGGAATACCGTATATGACGATTGGAGACTATCACTCGTTTATATTTTCAAGGACTACTCTAAAATAGTTCCAAGCTCTCTATCTGCTTTTTGTAAAGATTTATATAATATTTGTGACACGTTTGAAGGCAACGTCGTACGGGAAACTTGTGAAAATTTGTATAATGAATTTTACGAACTGAACCTCGACGTGCAAATTAACGAAAGAATCCGTCAAATTGATTCCACTGTGTTTTCGGAACATAAAATTTCGGAAGTATTACGAATGTCATCAAATAAAAAGCGATCTGTGGAATGTAATGAAGCAGAATCTTCCAATGGAAAACGAACTCGGCATGTCGCACCCGAATCAGAAATTGGTTTGTAATTAAATCTATATTGTTTGCTATATGGTGTAGTATTTTATCGACATATTTTTAATATTTTTACTTATCTTTACAAGCTCCAAGATCATGAAGAATGTGAATATGAAAATAAACTGAATCTTTCGAATGAAGAGGTATAAAAAACTATTAGTTAGTATTATTAACAATATTAATTAACTTACAAACTTCTTGATCAGTCCAGCTTATGTAACAGCCAAGAAGAAAGTGTTGAGTACGATGTGGAAGAAATAAGAAATCTGTTAAATGAATCAGAGACATGTTCACAGGAGATGAACAAAATTTTATCCAGTTTTCGAACGTACCAACATGAAACCAGGAATATCCTTTCGGAAAATGGGATAATGGACTTGAGTCCGACATCAGAATTTGTTCTTCTATATACAGAAGAAGTTGATTATGATAAATTGATAAAAGAAAATTTTGAATCGATCGACAAGATGTTTCCAGAAAAAGCGCATGAATTCCTAACAGATTTCTTTTCAGAGGTAATTGGTTATCTAAGTTGTCTTTTTATAAGAATATTAAATTTTTTGTCTTACCGTCATCTCATTTACAGAATTTGAACGAAGATCAGTGGGAAGAGAAACTTGAAAATTTGATGGAAAATAAAGGAAGCCCAGAAGAATTTTTTCAGCAGTCCGGAGAGAATCCAAGACAGGATAAATTTATTACGAAGTTAAAAATATTCATGTTAGAAACATTACCAACATTGTAAGTATTTGGGAAGTGCTTCTTTTCTTTTTAGAGATATTAACATTCACTATTTCTAGTTTTGACGCCTATAAACTGATGTCAGAAAATCCGCTTAAGAATCGTGAAATGGCAGAAGAAGAATATATGTATACCTTCGTTCATCCTATCTTAAAGAAAGCCCTCATTCGATTTTCTGGAATCCGATATGTTCAGTAAGAATAGATTTCATCTTTCTTACCACCACATTATTATGTAGCTGTAATATGTCTAACTTTTTAACATGCTCTGTAGAGGTAACAGGCCATTAAAGCTTCCGCTTATCGAAAAACTATAATGAATCAAGATGGTAAAGCAGATCGTGCAGATGGCATTGCGTATACATCGAATCAGCAAAATTCGTATGAGATCTCCGTTGTTGAAGGCAGTAGATCATATGTTACTGAAAGGAACAAAGAAACAAATGATTTCATTCAAAATGCCAGAGCAGCGAAAGACATGATTAACTTTGCAGTAACACAAGAGGTATTGCATAAACGGGCACTACCATCATACTTTCGTACGTTCATGGTTCAGGTTTTTGAGTTTAATCTACGATTTTATTTCATGGACTATCTCGGTATGTGTGCATATCAGTACTTAATACGGTGAAAATCATGAACTAACTACTTTTTTTCATTTTATAAAGTCCAGTATTGTATTTTTGAGATTGAAACGTGTGAAATACCTACTGATTGGAAGGAGACCCTTCAGTTTACCTCTTTTTACAGGGCAATTGTGACATGGGCGGTAAGTCAATCATTGATGTTTTATAAGGAATTTCTTGTTACTGATTTACATTCCCATCTTGTAGTTATTAGTTGGAGAAGCCGATAAAAAATTTCAACAATCCAGAAATAAAAGGAGCTCTCGTTTAAGTAACTGCCATAATATTCGAAAAGTGTTAAAACTTTCGCATAATAAAGCTCGGGAAGGCAAAAAAAAGGATATGACGAAGACTAAGCTTATCTGAGTGATATTAATTTTATCATTTTATCGCAGTTCTCTTTGTACTTAAAATCAAACAATTATGTATAAAAAATTAATCCTTATAAGACTAGCTAATATAACGATGATGTTAACAAATATTTTCTCTTATATGACAACGATATTTTACATACTATTATCTTTGAGTATAAGCTGATGCACCTCAATATGAATATTTTTTCGGTTGTGACTACGTATTTACAAGAAAATGATTTCAGAACTTGCAAACTTATATCCGCTTTTTTCGTTCAAGATTTCGGACCTTACTAGCATCACCAAATTTTTAAGGTTAACATTACTGCGCTTACTGTGTCTTAGGGCTTTGATGTTATGACATTTTCCAACATTGCATATCTCATATAACTGAAGACCATTTTATTTTAACTAGAATATCGATTGTTAGGACAAATGAAACCGGATCATGGAGTGGGATAATGTATATTAGTGTAGACAAATGAAAAGCTGTTGTGGCAAGCAGGCTTTAGGAAATTATAGTATGTATCACGGCTACAAGCCGAATCATGTAATTTATTATTCTGTATCAAGTGACCCTGGTGGTTGCACAAATTCATATTTTTTCGTGTGCATTGGGAAAATACAGTACTTAGATTTCTGATTTTTGATCATTTTTTTTCTTTGCAAAATGATTGGCGTGAAGAATTCTTTACGCGCACGTGATTTTTTGGCAAAAGTTCAAATCAAGTTATAGGTAACATGATCATGCCTGAATCTTAGTATAAGTTGAAAATTGTGAGCAGTAACCAGTATTTAAATATATAAACCAAATATATTTTATATGTAATTCAGCAATTAGTCTATAATTAGCCTAAGCAAATCAGAACAAATTTATAAATTTATTATTTTACATAGTTTTGAAATTTAAATTCTTTAAAAAGAAACACTTTGCAACATATATTTTATTCAAGAAAAGCTATATTTGATTTTTTTTAAAAATAATAAATAAATAATTAAAAATTCTATCCTTTGATTAACTTATATAAGATATATTTCTAAAAAAAATAAAATGAATAAATGAATAAATCAAAAATTTCATTTAATATCACCTTTAAAAAGAAAATAAATAAAAAAATAAAGGAAAATAGTAAATTTTTACCTAAAAAATCACCTTTAAATAAATTTTTTTATTTCTGAAATGATAATTTTCTTAAAAAAAATAATAATGATAAAGAAAGAAAAATGGTAAATTTCATTTAAAAATTTACCTTCAAATGATTTACCTTAATTCTAAAATGAGAATTTTCCTAAAAAAGTAAGAAAAGAAAGGAAATTAATCTAAAAAATTATTTTTATCTATTTTATTTACAAATAATAATTTTTCTAAAAAAAAAAAAAGGAAAATTAATTTAAAAGTTAACAGATTTACTTTCCTTATTTTTAATAAAAATATTCCTAAAAAAAAAAACAAGAAAAAAAAAAAGATAAATTTTCTAAAAAATTACTTAAAATTATTTTATTTTAAATAAAAAATTTTTTAAAAAATAAAAAAAAGGTAAATAGTAAATTCTTATTAAAAATCATTTTTAAATGATTTATCTTATTTTAAAAATAAAAATTTTTCTAAAAAAAAAAATGAATTACAGAAATAAATAAGAAAAATAAGGAAAAAAAAAAATTTTTTTTTGATTAATCTAGCCAAAAAATATAAAATCATATAATATGTACATATTATATGATTTTATATTTTTCAGCTTAGACTAGGTTATGAATGTAACTTAGGTAACTTCATAATATAATAGTAACATTATAGTCTGCTGGTAACTTCATAGTTTACTGGTAACTTTATGATATAATGGTGATTTCATAATCTAATTACATAATCTGGTGGTAACTTCATAACCTACAGAGGGCGATCAAAATTATCCGGCCAGTTTGTTTGGCCAAAATTATGCCGATCATCACATGTTAACATAATATA